GCCCAGGAGTTGGAGGTTGCTGTGAGCTGTGATGCTATGGCACTCTATGGAGGGTGATAAAATGTCTCAAAAAGAAAAGAAGAGAAAAGAAAAAAGAATCTAAATAAAGAGAAATGCAAAGTTCTTAGATAAGAAGACTCAATATCATAATTGTCAATTCTAACTGAAATGACCTATACTTTTAATACAAGACCACTGTATTTACCTAACAAAGGACTAATATAAAGAATGTATAAAATACTCCTATAAGTCAAAAATTAAAAAGCAAAAAATGAATGATAAACAAGAGCAAAAGCCTGGAGAAGGCATTTTACAGAAGAAACACAAATGGACCATTAGCATGTGAAACACTGAACCTCCTTGGTAATCAGAGAAATGCAAATTAAAACCTGGATGAGATGCTCTTTCACACTGACTGGACTGACCACAATCAGAAAGTGGGAGAAGGCCAGGTCCTGGAGCAACAAGAACAGATGTGGAGCAGCAGAACTGCCATCCACTGCTGGTGGTGAATAAATCGGTCAAACATCCTCTGAAAAGAGCCTGGCCTTGCCAAATAAAGATCAACATGTACGTATTCTTCTGCCCAGCAATTCAACTCCTACATTATACAGCCTGGAAACATTATTGGCCAAGGTACCAGGAGACATGCAGAGATGTTCACGTAGTAAGACTGTTTAGCAGAGGCAGGGCCAGAGAGGGGAAGAAAGGTCACGAGGGCACAAAACTTAATATGGGGCCACTGTAGGACTGTTGTAGGTTGTGGCTTATCACATTGCATCCTCAGCCTTGATAGTGGGCTAAATGGTAGCCCCTAAAAGATATATCTGTCCTGAAACCTGTGAATGTGATCTTTTTTTTTGTTGAGACAGAGCCTCAAGCTGTCCCTCTGGGTAGAGTGCCGTGGCATCACAGCTCACAACAACCTCCAACTCCTGGGCTCAAGCGAGTCTCCTGCCTCTGCCTCCCAAGTAGCTGGGACCACAGGCGCCCGCCACAACGCCCGGCTATTTTTTGGTTGCAGCCGTCATTGTTGTTTGACGGGCCCGGGCTGGATTTGAACCCGCCACCTTGGGTGTACATGGCTGGCGCCTTAGCCACTTGAGCCACAGGCTCTGAGCCGTGAATGTGATCTTATTTGGAAAAAGAGATCTTTGAAGATGTAATCTTAGAGATGAGATCATTCTGGATAACCTGGATGGGCCCTAAATTCAATAACAAGTGTCCTTGTAAGAGATAATACAACAGAGAGACCTGGAAGGGAAGGCCATATGAAGAGTGGGGCAGAGGTTGTAGTCATGCAGCCATCAGCCATAAAAACTTAGAAACTCAGGTGGTGCCTGTGGATGAAAGGAGTAAGGCACCAGCCCCATATGCCGAAGGTAGAGGGTTCAAACCCAGCCCCAGCCAAAAACTGAAAAAAAAAAAAACTTAGAAACTCATGGAGCTCCAGGGAGACAAAGGGCAGACCCCCAGCCCCCTGTCTTGGTGCTGGCTCACCATAATACTGTCCCAAGCAACTGCCCATACCTGGGGAGGAAGGAATGCCCTACCAGTCTACCACCCAGAACTTAAGTGTGCCAACTGCTAAAGAAAGAAGAGGACTCCCTGGCCCATGGGCCCAGTAGCATAGGTACAATAGAGTCTGGAAAATGATCTAGAACAACCTTAAGGCTGTGGCCAGGTGCAGTAGCTCACGCCTGTAATCCTAGCATTCTGGGAGGCCGAGGTGGATGGATTGCTTGAGCTCAAGAGTTCAAGACCAGCCTGAGCAAAAGCAAGACCCCCATCTCTACTAAAAATAGAAAAACTGAGACAAGAGGATCACTTGAGCCCAAGAGTTGGAGGTTGCTGTGAGCTATGATGCCACAGCACTCTACCCAGGGTGACAGCTTGAGATTCTGTCTCAAACAAACAAACAAACAAACAGAAAAACCTTAAGGCTAATTATCATGTCATGAGCTTAGATCTACCCCCACCCAGTGGGCTTTAAGAGAGGCTCCTGGGAAGTCTGCTTGCATAGTAAGTCTGCATGCATAATCTGTGGTTCCAAGGTGACCTCTGGCCTAAGAAGTGGACCCAATCCAGACAGTATGAAACAGAATCCCAGGCTATAACCAAGGCCTTTTTTTGTTGTGACGAGGGGGCCCGTGTTCATGGTCTATGGTGAATGCATCTTCCCATAGACAAGTGTCTTGCTCTTGCTCTGCAAACCTATCTCCCTCTTCCTCCATAACCTTTGTTTCATGCTCATGTTACTTTGGGGTGTCTGGTCATTCTTCATCTAAGAGTACACCAAGAACTGAGAATGTAGTTGCCTGAACCCCGGCAGGAGCCACCGGATGTTGGAAGAGCCAAGGAAAGATCCTTTCCCAGAGCCTTTGAAGAAGCATCTGACTATAGGCTTCTGGCCTCCAGAATGTTGAGAAGATGAATTTTGTTGTTTTAAGGCACCAAGTTAGTGGTAATTTATTACATCTGCTCTAGGAAACGAAGTGTCTCTCTCGTCTCACCCTAGTCCTAGCACTGTCACTAAGGATAGCAAAAAAATGAAACAATCCTAATTGTCCATCAATAGTAAATATGTGAATAAATTGTGGTGTCATCTTACAATGGACTATTATAGCAGAATGAATGAGCTGTAGCCTACGTGGATCAATTTGCATGAATCTCAAAAATAAGGTTGCATGAAAGTCAATCAGAGGGAACTACAAATATGTGATTCCACTTACAGAAACTTCAAAAATAGGCAAAAGGACACAGTATATTCTTTAGGTTTACATTCCCAGAGGGTAAAGCTATAAAGAAAAGCAAGTGACTGATCAAAACAAAATAGAGGATCCTTCTAGGAGGGCAGGGTGTGCGCTGAGAAAAAGGCACCTTGGCTCGGCGCCTATAGCTCAACCGGCTAAGGCGCCAGCCACGTACACCTAAGGTGGCGGGTTCGAATCCCCAGCCCGGACCCACCAAACAACAATGACAGCTGCAACCAAAAAAATAGCCGGGCGTTGTGGCGGGCGCCTGTGGTCCCAGCTACTTGGGAGGCAGAGGCAGGAGACTCGCTTGAGCCCAGGAGTTGGAGGTTGCTGTGAGCTGTAATGCCATGGCACTCTGCCCAGGGGGACAGCTTGAGGCTCTGTCTCAAAAAAAAAAAAAAGAAAAAGGCACCTTGTGAGGTCACGGTCCTGAAGCTGGGTGCGGGGTACGATAGCAGTTCTTGTACCATATTATTCCTCTTTATACTCCGCATCTTGCATTTTATGTACTTTTTTAGTATCTTTGATATAGTTTGTAATGAGAATTAACAGAGAAAGTATAGACTATGGAAATTAACCTTGATGGTATGCTAAGTTTCTCTTCCTAGATAAAAGATTCTATAATACAGTATATGACCTAGATAAGTTGTAACGTCAGTCACCTAACATGTATACACCACCCTCTAATACTGTGTAAAGCTCTGGGTTCCAAAACGAGCCACAAATTCATAGGGAAGGGTGATGGGAGCAGAGAAAAGAGAGAGAGAGAGAACACACATGGACTTATTTGCAAATTAATGGCGACAGGTATGGTGGCTCATACCTGTCATCTCAACTCTATGGAAGATCAAAGCAAGTGGATTGCCTGAGCTTAGGACTTTGAGGGCCTACCAATGTGGCTCACACCTATGATCCTAATACTCCAGGAGGCGGAGACAGGTGGATTGCTTGAGCTCAAGAGTTCAAGACCAGCCTGAGCAAGAGCGAGACCCCATCTCTACTAAAAATAGAAAAACTGAGGCAAGAGAATCACTTCCAAGAGTTGGAAGTTGTTGTGAGCTGTGATGCCACAGCACTCTATCCAGGGCAACATCTTGAGGCTCTGTCTCAAAAAAATTAAATTAAATACATAAATAAAATAAAATAAAATCCAGAAATATGTTTAAAGGTCATGACTTGTGACATTTTTTGTTACTCAAACCCTAAGAGCTTTATGCAATTAATAAATGAAAACAATTCAGTGAAAGATGGCAGATTAAGGGTGGCGCCTGTGGCTCAGTGAGTGGCACACTGGTCCCATAAGCCAAGGGTGGTGGGTTCAAACCCAGCCCCAGCCAAACTGCAACAAAAACAAACAAAAACGGTGGCAGATTAAACATATGCATTTAGCATTCCAAAGCCCATGGAATAAGATGAAGGGATTTTTTTTTTTTTTTTAAAGACAAAGTGAATAGAAGAGACAGCGGCCAAAAACAAACAAAACAGCACAAATCAACAAAACCTCAACAACAACATGAAAAAGAAAGCTGGAAAGCAGACAGGCAGGTGGTACCAACTTAGCAGATCCACCAAAGCTGACTCCTAAAGCAGCAACTGGGCAGGTTGAGCAGTGATATGAATGGCACAGCAAACCCTTGGAAGGGGCCCAGGGAACTATGGTGCCAAGACCTGTAGCAGTGGGGCTTAAGAACCAGAGAATGGGCTGCCAACAGCCAGACTCTAGCCCTCCGGCTCTCCACGCAGTCCAGTTGCAGCCCTTTCCTGATGTTGTTAGAGACAGGAGGTTTATTCTCTGAAGAAGGAACTATAGGACATCTCTTTCCTGGGGGCAGCAGCACAGTTGACAACAGTGGGATCAAGTGAATGTTTATGTTACCAGACTCACAGGGCCTGGCTGCGCACCACTGTCAGCCAATATGCAGAGACTGGGATAGAGTCACCAAATTTGATTTGTCAAAAGGCCAGCATTTCTGGAGAATAGTGAGAGGAGCCTCTCTAAGACTGTTCTGTTCTTCCATTTCCAGAATCACAGTTTGTTTGTTTGTTTTTTTTAAATAAAGTCTATTGTTTATTTCCACCTGTTAGCTCCTTTGTGGTGTGCATGTAGAAGGCTGGAGACCCAGGGAAGCAGGTCAAGAAAAATGCTTGACCTACAGCGGCCCAGGCCCAGCCTTCAGCCACTCTGGTGGACTCGGCTTAGGCCTGGGATCTTAGTGTCTCAGGCTTGAGAGTGAGGAGCACAGAAGAGGAGCCTCCAGGCCTCCCTGACTCCCCTCCACAGGACCCCGGGTCCTAGGCTGGCCTAGCCACAAGCCAGGGCTCAGGAGGGACCCACACGGATGTGAGGGTTTATGAGCAGGTCCAGGTTGGGATCGCTGTCAGCTGCGGCCCGGCCCAGGCGAGACATGAGGGCAAGGAGGGGCAAGAAACTCAGCAGCCCCAACAGTAGCAGCAGCCCCACCCTCTGCAGCAGAGTCAGTGGCCGCTTACAAGACCCAGCCCAGCTCCTGAGCAGCTGAGCCAGCCAACCCAGGGCAGGCCTGCGACAGTACTTGTCATCGTCACAATCCCCATGAAGGCCCAGTGTCCGGTCATCATCACATGTGTCATACACCTTCCTTGGGGCATGAGTCAAGGGTTCAGAACTACCCATGTGGATCACTGTGTGCTGCTCAGTCCGGCCCGGAGAAGCAGGGGGCCGTGGGGCCTGGCTGTAGAAGGTTGGGTCAGCAGAGGTGCTGTCTATCTCTTCTGCTCTGGAGGTACTGCTGGCATTAAAACTTGACCAGTCAGAGAAGTCAGAAGTGTCGAGGGGCTCAGCCTCTGGGCTTACCACTTCATCAATCAGAGGGAGGCCCAGTCCTGCCCAGGCCCAGTTGACTGTGGTCAGCTTCTCTCTCAATGCAGAAGCCACAGGACCATCCAGGTTGGTTGGGGGAAAGATGGGGCCACTACAGCTAGGGCACTGGTAGCCAGCAGATGTGGTGTTTTTGGGTAGCTGGGTGGCACGTTCATTGATGCATCCCCAGTGAAAGATATCATAGCTGTCGGGGCGGGTGGTTTCTCTGCTGGCCAGGGGTATGTTGCATAGATGGCAATTAGGGTTGTATTCGCTATCTTGGAGCCACTTCAGGTAGGACTGGACGATGCACTTGGTGTGATTGGCTATGAGGCAGTGCTCGCAGACGTTGACCCGGTGTTCAAAGCAAAACAGGTCGGTCACTTTCCTCTTGGGGCACTTGCAAAGCCCCATGGTCGACCCCCTGTCTCCGTGTTACTGATCGGCCGCAGCACCGGTCTCGACCAGCGCGAGAGATAGTTCGAGTCACGGAAGGCCAGAGACTGCGCACCAGAATCACAGCTTTATATACTACACAAGTTAAAAGCAAGAACCATACTAACTCTTAAACAATAGTAATTAACGCTTAAACAACAGTAATCACCATAATCCATGACCCATAATAAATAATAATTGATATAACTCATGATCTATATAAAAACATCTTAATTCAAAAGTTAATCTCCTATATTGATTGCCCTAAACTACTCAAGATATACACGTTCAGGTTAAAAGTAACAAAATAACAAGGATGAAAGACATGAGGTGAAGGTCACATAGGCCTAAACCGGCCAGACCAGCTGTGTCATCTCAGCCTTAGCCTGACTGACTCCATCTTATTTTCATGATATGTGCTCTCATTTACAGATTGTGCTCTGAGATACCCCAAGCCCTAAGCCCCCCAAGTCCCCGAAAGGTGGACAGCCAGACATAGACCCTCTAGGAGGGAGATTGGCAACTCTTTATCTGAGGGTCCAACCAAGCCAGGAGGAAAGACCTAATGTCTGTGGAGACATTGGCCTTGCAATTAAGAAACAGCCCATTCGTTCACGTCAGGCCTGAAGTGAATGTTACTGTCCCAGGAAATTGAGGGGAAGCCTTCCTGGCACCAGCCACACCCAGCCATGTACAAGGGGTAACTTGCTTTACTTTTCTGGGCCTTGGTTTCTTCATCTCTGATGTAAGGTGGGAAGGCTCTCACGGACTTGCGAGGACTAGAAGAGACAGCACCTGAGTGCGCTGAGGGTGGTGATTAGTTCCCTGAAGCACCCTCATTCCTGTGGTCATTAGCACGTCTCTCCCCTGCTTCCACAGCCACGTGGCAGGATGGGGACACAGACATCCACAGAGGGCCTCCAAACCCAGCTCGTTCACATTTCCACTGGCTCCTTCAGCTAAAGCAGTCACTTCTCCCTGCCCCCCCCAACTTCACCCAGCTGTCCCCAATTCCAACAAAATACCAGTTAGAAGAATCATCTCACATCCCCTCAGACACATGGAGGCCGGATGTCTGCTAGGCATCGCACTCCCAGGCCCATGCTGCTCCAGGGCCACAGTGAGTTCACCTTGCTCTGGCCTTAGAGGACCCTGCAGGAATCTGGAGGTGATCTAAAGAGTTCCTGAGGGTCTTGCGCACTGGAGAGAGAGATAGTGTCCAAGGGCAGAGGCTGGGTCTTTGCAGGCCATTCTAAAGAGCTTCCTGATGACACACGCAGGCGGTGTGGGATGGCTGCCCTCTCCCCCGTGCAAGGGGAAGATTATACAGCTGCTTTGAGACACGGTGGGAAAGAAGCAGCAGCTTCTGTGTCTTCTGAAATTGAAAGAAAACCCGCAGTGCCCATAAGCTGCCCTTTCCACCCAAAATGCAGCAACTTCTGCGTATTGGGAGGCCAGGAATCAAGAGCTCAGATGATCCTGAGCCCTGCCCAGGGTGGAGGCACCCGGACACAGTGACCCTGCTTCAAAGGGCTGCTCTCTGACGGTGGGTGCTGTCACTTGGATTCCCAGATGTGCCTGAGTGGCCTGCTCCAGAAGTCAAAAAAGGCCCCAAGCGACTTGGGCCTCGAAATGGAGACCCCATAATGAGTCAAAAAACAAAAGAGCAGAAATACTCATTAGAAATCCGAGAGAAATTTTGAAAAGATCTGACATACCCACCCCCTCCTTGCTCCAACCTCATTGTCATCAGCTCAAGCCACAAAGCCTTCAGTCCCTGGGGCGTCCCAAGTGCCCTTTCTCCCTGCGGGTACCACACAGTCGGGACAAGAAAGCATTCCTCTCGGTGGGGTGAGGAGGAAGTGGGTCCAGCCCTGCCAGGCAGGAGGGGAAGAAGGATTCCATTCCCATTGTTCTCACTCAGACTGCCCAACAATGGGGAAGGAAGGCCCGAGAGCCGGTCCGACCAGCTGGAGCAGCACAAGGGGCCTTCCTACCTCCCTACCAGTTCTCGTGTTTTCTCCCTCTCTCCTTCCCTCCCCTAGATTTCCCACCCCCCTTCCCCTCCTCCCTCTCACCCCGCCCCTCCACAATGTCTTCAGTGTACAGGAAGCTTAGGGCAGAGGGTCCAGCCTTGATGCCTATCACCTGGGGAGCACTCTGCAGCTTTACTTCTTGAAAATGTGTAGCCATGGGCGGCGCCCATACCTCGGTGGGTAGGGCACCGGCCATATACACCAAAGCTGGCAGGTTCCAATCCAGTCCAGGCCTGCTAAAACAATGACAACTGCAACAAAAATAGCCGGGTGTTGTGGCAGGGGCCCGTAGTCCCAGCTACTTGGGAGGCTGAGGCAAGAGAATCGCTTAAGCCCAAGAGTTTGAGGTTGCTGTGAGCTGTGAC